AAAATAGATGGTGTCAAACATGTATAACGTGTAAAAAGAAATGGTCTTGTAAAAACCCACTTAGTGGCAAACATGTAAATAACTTAAGCTAAATTAATTAGCATTATTTATTCTAATTTAATTGTTCTAAATCGAATTTCAATTAAACCTACCATAAATTTCTATAATTCCTAATTAGCATATAATACAAGTCAATTTCTAAATCGGTTGCCGATAAGGCTTTCAATTCGCAAATCGAGATTAAAACGTGAACATATCTTTCTATAACAAACAGATAAGAATGCATCTAAAGCAACACACTCACACAATTAATTTAGGATTTCATCTTAATCATTTACTTAGCATGCTTAATCATTTACTTAGCATGCTTAATCATGAATTAGAGTTAACCATGAGTCGGGGTTATCACAGTCTTCCCCTCTTAAAAGAGTTTGGTCCTCCAAACTCGAATTACCTTAATTTTAGAAGAACACCGAATTCAAAGGGAACAGTTCAGGATATCTTTTCATCATGTCGTCTTCCCTTTCCCAAGTTGCGTAAACGCCACCATGGTTTTGCCAATCCACTTTCACTAACGGGATTTCCTTATTTCTCAATTTCTTGATTCGTCGGTTTACAATCTGAATAGGTCGTTATTCATAAGTGTAATCATCACTCGATACCACATGGGTAGGCTCAATAACATGGAAAGGATCCCGTAGATAGTCCTGCAACATCGAGACATGAAAGACATTATACATGTGTTCCATTTCAGGAGGGAGTGCTACTTGATATGCCACCGGATTGATCTTTTTAATGATTTCATATGGCACAACATACCTTGGAGCTAATTTGCCTATGGTTCCAAAGCGTGTCTGCCTTTTCATGGGTGTTACTTTAATAAAAACATGGTCACCCACTTCATATTCCCTATCTTGCCTTCGGACATCCACGTAGCTTTTCTGTCGGCTTTGTGCGGTTCTCAATCTTTGTTGAATTAACTTCACATTTCCGTCGTTTCATGCACAATCTCAGGCCCAAGTAAAGGCCCATCTCAAACTTCTGTCTAACAAATAGGAGATCAACATTTTCTGCCATATAAAGCCTCGAAAGGCGCCATACCAATACTCGAATGAAAACTGTTGTTGTAGGCAAATTCAGTTAAAGGCAAATGACTTTCCCAATTCCCTTGGAAATCAAGTACACACATACGCAGTAAGTCCTCCAGAGTTTGGATTGTTCTTTCTGATTGGCCATTTGTCTGAGGATGGTATGCATTACTTAATCTCATTTTAGTACCCAATGCCATTTGCGGGCTTTGCCAAAATCTTGATGTAAACTTTGAGTCCCTATCAGAAACAATGGACATAGGCACTCCATGCAATCTAACAATCTCATTAATATAAATTGTAGCCAACTTATCCGCATTATAAATTGTTTTGACAGGCAAGAAATGAGCAGACTTAGTCAATCGATCAACAATAACCCAAATTAAATCCATACCTCTACTGGAGCGAGGCAATCCAACAATGAAATCCATAGTGATATGTTCTCATTTCCACTCCGATATTGGCAAGGGTTGAAGTAAACCCGCGGGTCGTTGATGTTCGGCTTTGACTTGTTGGCAATGTAGGCATTTCAATACAAACCCAGCAATTTCTTTCTTCATTCCCGACCACCAGAAATTAAGCTTCAAATCTTGGTACATTTTTGTATTTCCTGGATGGATAGAAAGTTTTGAACTGTGGGTTTCTTGCAAAACCTGCATTTTCAATTCAGGATCATTTGGTACGCACAACCTTCCTTGAAATTTCAACACATCATTTTCAAATCTAAAATCTGGCCTCGGTTTGGATTCCCGTTCATCAATTATCTTTTTCAAAAATTCATCTTGTTGTTGCTTCTCTTTAATTTTCTTAATAAGTGCCGGTTAAGCAGAAATAGTAGCCAATATCCCACCTCGTTCCCGCAAAACAATTTCAACCTCAAATTTCTCAAGGTCATGTAGCAGTTCTTCCTGTCCGGTGAGTAAACAGGCCAAATTCCTAATTGATTTCTGACTAAGTGCATCAGTAATGGTGTTAGCTTTCCCCGGATGGTACAAAATTTGCAAGTCATAGTCTTTTATCAATTCTAACCATCTCTGTTGTCTCATGTTCAACTCTTTCTGTGTAAAGAAGTATTTTAAACTCTTGTGATCTGTGTACACTTCACATGTTGCCCCATATAAGTAGTGGCGCCAAATTTTCAATGCAAATACTACTGCGGCGAGTTCCAAGTCGTCAGTTGGATAATTCTTTTCGGGTGGCCTCAGTTGTCGGGAAGCATACGCAATAACTTTACCATTCTGTATTAATGCACATCCCAAACCCTTATAAGAAGCATCACTAAAAATAGTAAATCCATTTGTACTTGAGGGTAAGGTGAGAATCGGTGTAGTCACAAGTCGAGTCTTCAATTCTTGGAAAGCTGATTCTCTCTGATCGGTCCAGTCAAATGGCATTCCTTTTTGAGTTAACTGAGTCAATGGCAGAGTAATTTTGGAAAAATCTTTCACGAATCTTCGATAGTACCCGGCTAAACCTAAGAAACTCCGAACCTCGGTAACATTGGTCGGTCTAGGCTAATTCACCACTGCTTCAATCTTCCGTGGGTCAACTGAAATGCCATCCTTACTAATCACATGCCCTAAAACATGACACTATCAAGCCAAAATTCACATTTTGTTAGTTTTGCATATAGTGTATGTTCTTTCAAGATCTGTAAAACAATTCTCAAATGATGTTCATGTTCTTCCTTACACTTGGAATAAATCAAGATATCATCTATAAAAACAACCTCAAATTCATCGAGGAATGGTTTGAAAATTCTGTTCATAAGATCCATAAATGCAGCAGGCCCATTAGTAACTCTGAAAGGCATAGCAAGAAATTCATAATGTCTGTACCTTGTTCGGAGGGCAGTCTTCTCAATGTCTTATACTTTGACTTTCAATTGGTGGTATCCGGATCTAAGGTCAATTTTGGAAAAGACTTGCGCGCCTTGTAGTTGGTCAAATAAATCATCAATGCGAGGCAATGGGTACTTGTTTTTCACTGTCACCTTGTTCAGTTCACGGTAGTCAATACAAAGCCTTAATGAACCATCCTTCTTTTTCACGAATAACACTGGAGCGCCCCACGGTGATGGACTAGGCCTAATAAACTTCTTGTCCGACAACTCCTGCAACTGGATTTTCAATTCTTTCAATTCAGTAGGTGTCATTCTGTACGGAGCTTTGGAAATTGGCTGTGTACCCGGCAACACCTTCTCAATGTCTTCTACTTTGACTTTCAATTGGTGGTATCCGGATCTAAGGTCAATTTTGGAAAAGACTTGAGCGCCTTGTAGTTGGTCAAATAAATCATCAATGCGAGGCAATGGGTACTTGTTTTTCACTGTCACTTTGTTCAGTTCACGGTAGTCAATACAAAGCCTTAATGAACCATCCTTCTTTTTCACGAATAACACTGGAGCGCCCCACGGTGATGGACTAGGCCTAATAAACTTCTTGTCCGACAACTCCTGCAACTGGATTTTCAATTCTTTCAATTCAGTAGGTGTCATTCTGTACGGAGCTTTGGAAATTGGCTGTGTACCCGGCAACACCTCAATGCTGAACTTAATCTCCCTATCAATCAAATCCCCTGGCAAATCATCTAGAAAAACATCTGGGAATTCTCTGATTATGGGGATACTGTCCATATTAGCTTCAGTATCAGTAGGCACAGTCAATATACAACATGAATATCCTTTACACCCCTTTCTAATCAGCTTGAATGCTTTCATAGACGAAATCAAGTATGGGGGAGGTACAACACCAACTCCATCAAACACAAATTCAGGCAATCCAGGTGGACAAAAAATAACTTGCTTCATTACACAGTCAATGGAGGCATGATATTTTGTTAACCAATCTATTCCCAAAGTTACATCAAAATGATCAAGATTCAAAGGTAGCAAATCAACATACAAAAGTACATTCCCAATAACAATCTCACATGCAGGATACACATAAGCACAAGTCATAGATCCCCCAGCAGGTGAAGATACAGCTAACAAATAGTTCATGGGTTCCAGTGGTTTATTTAATTTTCGTGAAAAAACATATGAGACAAACGAATGTGTAGACCCCGAATCAATTAGAATATAGGCATTTTGAGCACAAATTGAGAGTATACCTGACACAACCGCTTCAGTATTCTGCACGTCTCCTGGTACAAGTGCAAACACCCGACCTTGCCTTAAAGGTTCCTTTCCGGTAGCTTTGGGATTGAGTTTTGGTGTAACAGTTGATGCTGCAGCACTGGCTATGGGCCTACTAGTGCCTTGAGACGTGAGAGGACAATCTTTAACCATGTGGCCCACCTTGCCACACCTGTAGCATGCCCCAGCAATTTTGTAGCAAACCCCTTTATGTCTTCTGCCACATTCTGGACAAGGTGATATGGAATTGTTTCCTTGACTGGAGTTACTTGTTGATCTTGTGTTTTGCTTTTTATTTAATGAGTTATTCCGGCCCTTTTTAAAACTGAAATTTTGTCTCTTGCCCCGCCATTTAGTCACCGGTGCCTTAGTTTGTTTCAATGCTGCAACATTTGCCTCGGCTATAATTGCTCGGTCAAGGACATCTACATATTTGAGTAATTTCAGGACATTAATTCGATCAAGTATTTCCATATTAAGCCCACCTTCAAACTTTTTGGCCTTTTTATAGTCGGTATCCACCACGTGTGGTGCATATCGAGTGAGTTTAGTGAACTTAGATTTATATTTAGCTACTAACATGGTACCCTGCTTCAATTGTTCAAATTCAATCACTTTACGGTCTCGGACGCACTGAGGGAAATATTTCTCATAAAAAGCTTCCTTGAACTGAGCCCAAGTCATAGCATTGGTTGCATCATGAATAAGCATCCACTACTGTCTAGCCTCTTCTTGTAAAGTAAAAGTAACCGGTAACACTTTATGTGCCTCCGAACATGGAAATACTTCAAACAGCTTCTCAGTTTCTAAGACCCATGCTTCGGCCTTCAGTGGCTCAAGACCTCCCTAGAATTTTGGTGGCTTCATTTTGTTAAACTTTGTGTCAAAGCAATCACATCATCGTTGGCATTTGGTTCTGGTTGCACAGGAGGGAGGGGGCTGTTGGTTCTGTGGTTGTCTTAGGGCATCAGTCAGTAACTCAACCATTCTTTCCAACCTTGCAATTCTTGTATCGGATGATTCAGGTTCATTCATATTTCTTGCATTCTCCATTTCATTATAGAAAACATGACTATAATAAACGTAGGAAAGATGGTCTTATATTCATGTATGTTAATTCATATGCTCATAATATGTCCGCATGTTTATGTATGCTCATGAAATGCCCTATTACTTTTTTAGGACATCCTATAGCTCATTTGGACACGTGTGTGCGGTATAACTCGTGCTCTGATACCACTCTGTCACGACCGAAATCCGCCCGTAAGGGTTTAGCATCATAACCGGCTAGTAATCCGTGATTACCAAAGGCCTACTTAGCAGTAATGACGATAATACAATATAATGGGGGCTGGCGGAAGCCATTCAATAATAAGATGACGTCCAATGAGCCGTGAAGACCTGAATGGAAATAAACTCTCATGTACAAGGCCATATTCATATATCACTTATAACAAAATGCAAACACAAGATAGGGACATAATCCCATCACGAAAACTGTACAATCAAACGTCTGAGACATTCATTACACATAGTAAAAAGGGTGAATAGAAACACCCAAAAAGTTTTGACTCGTGCAGGTTTGAAACCTTGAAGTGAGGCACAATGGCTGGCTTGACAAAACATGAGCTTAAGTAGGCGCCTCTAGCTTTGGTCCGGCGCTTGGCCACCTACATATATATATATATATATATAAACTGTGAGCTAAAGCCCCGTGAATAACAAATGTGTAAAGGGGTTAAGAATGAATGTCTTTTCGGTAATCAAAGCAGTTATTTATATGTGTTGAACAGTTATTCATTCAGTGTTTCATATTTTAAGTCATATCATTCAGTTAGGAATCATAGCAGTCATACGTGGTACATCCAATAGCAGAACAGTACAATAGGTCGTAATAGACCGAACAGTCAGTTGATGGCCATCGATACAAGAAACAGTAGTAGTTTCAAACATTTGAACTAACAGAGATCTCTGTAACAGTAGCAGTAACAGTAATAGTAACAGCAATAGTAACAGTAGCAGTAACAGTCAATTGCTATGGATGCCACGAGCGCAGTTCGTAAAATAGGACAGATATTCATTTAGTAAACAATATCATTTCAGAAAGCAGTACAGTTAATCATTCAGAAAATAAATTTAATTGAACATAGCTTTACAACATTGTTACTCACAGATCACAGGCTATAAGCAGGCTAATCAGCTTCCTTGGTTGCAAAACCTACACAGTCACAGAATGAACGCACACTAAATCACACACCCGGAATTGATAACTTAGCCCGTTTTTCTTGTTTCGGTGTGGTTCTATTTCATCATTTCCTCATTATGACGTCTTAATCATGGCCTAGGAATGCCTAGGATAGAAAGGGGATGCAAAAGTGTAATTGAAAATATTTTTCAAAACTTGCTGAAAACAGGGGTCTCGCTCGAGCGTAGACTCCTTCGCTTGAGCGGTTTGCAAAAATGTGTAAAGTTCTGGTTGCATGAAATCTCTGCTCGACGCTCGCTCGAGCGTGAGACATAGTTCCTAGCTCGATGCTTGCTCGAGCGTGAGACACAGTTCCTAGCTCAAGCACAAGTCTCGTCGCTCGAGCGTGCTTCTACACACGCAAATTTCTAAAAGCTTGTAATTTACGCTCGAGCCAACTTTTTGTCGCTCGAGAGAAATTGTGAAAATGGTGGTGGTCGCTCGAGCGTGGAAGCAAAATTCTGGGTTTTTCAGATTTGCTCCCAAAGTCCAAACCATGAAATCAACAATCCAAAGCTCATCCTTTTGAGCCAAAATCCTAAAAAAAACACTTAGAAATTCACAATACTTCATGATTTAAAGACCATTTCATAAAATCAAGGCCCCAAACTATGTCAATTGTTCAAAATTTCATCTTGAAATGAAAGAACAAGATGTAATTATGCCATGCATGTATTCATTTGAATTCATGACCTCTAACACATGATCACATGAGACATTCCTTCCCAAAACATGATGAATTCTTAGATTACCACTATAATATGAACATGCATGTGAGAATTTCATGAAAACAACTTCAAAACTCCGTGATATGGACATGCATGCATGAATTGATTCTCAAATATACTCTTTAGGCTATTTCTTGACTTTAGTCTCTAATTTCCATGAACCCATGCATTAAACAACTTTATTTCACAATTAAAAGGGTAGATTCCTACCTTAAGTCTTGAATTCCCAAGTGTGGAAGCCTAATCTTCCAAGTCCTCTTCAATTTCCTCTAAATTTCAAGCAATTGTCTAGTTGAGTTCAATTTCCTTCCTACTCTCTCACGTTTTGTGCAAGAAGGTGGAAAATGGATGGTGTCAAACATGTATAAGTTAAAAAAAGAAATGGTCTTGTAAAAACCCACTTAATGGCAAACATGTAAATAACTTAAGCTAAATTAATTAGCATTATTTATTCTAATTTAATTATTCTAAATCGAATTGCAATTAAACCTACCATAAATTTCTATAATTCCTAATTAGCATATAATACAAGTCAATTTCTGAATCGGTTGCCGATAAGGCTTTCAATTTGCAAATCGAGATTAAAACGTGAATAGATCTTTCTATAATAAACAAATAAGAATGCATCCAAAGCAACACACTCACATAATTAATTTAGGATTTCATCTTAATCATTTACTTAGCATGCTTAATCATGAATTAGCGTTAACCATGAGTCGGGGTTGTCACAATTATTTAAAAAATCAAAAAATCATAAAATTTAGTTTGAGGGTTTAGAGTTCCCACAAGCCTTATCATTAAAAATACCATTTTCCTTATATAATAAGACTATCATATCACCCGTGCTATGCACGAGATAAAATAATATATTATTTAATAAAAATATGATAATTATATTTAATTTTTTTATATTTTGTAAAATAAAAATTAAATCAAAATTAGTTAATTGGGATTTTCTTAATTGTTTAAAATTAA